TGGACGATTGGCAGGAGTGCTCGCGCGGTACTGCAGGGCCTCATTCCGAAGCGTCGAAGCCTCGATGCGGCTCGCAACAGACAACTCCTGATGCAACCTCCTCATGCACTCGTACCCAGCTGGGGAGCCAAGCTGCTCCTTCTCTACTTGCTTAACCAAGTCAAGCCCACGAGCAAACCCTTGCAACGCTTGCTTCAGGTACAAGAAGGTCCTAGTTGAACGCACGCTCTGTCCCTTTTCAAGCGATGACTGCTTGATGGTGACCTCAGAAGCAATCGATCGATGAAGCTCTTCCGGGATCCTATCATCAAAGAGAGCAATCCACGGCAGGAATTGCTCTAGGAACTCAGCCCATCCTTCGATCTCCGAGCGACGGCCTTTGCTCATCTTTCCACCATCAATCGCAGGCAGCTTAGGAACATAAGCTTCAGCTTTGGGATTCCTGATGGGAGCACCTCCCTCATCAACCTCCATTTTTCCCGACGAATCGGAGATGGAGCTAAGCTCTCCACCGTGGCCCTTGCCTCTCGCAGTAGGTGGCGCAGGCACTTCCCTGCTCACAAGAGCCTGAACTAGAGACGTAAGCTGGGCAACTTGCTGCTGCTGCTGCTGCACCGTCTGGTACAGAAACGTCTCCACGGTGGGCGGTGATGGTGCATTCACTGAACTCTGGCAAACCTGGTGGGGGTGGCAACACACCTCCAAGAGGGTTCGGCGAGCCAGCTGGGCTTCCCACCACCGGGCTTCCGGTTGGATGCATACCCCGTTCCAGAGCCGACAAGTTCGACACCGGACTAAAAGCAGCACCCCGAGGCACACTGCTTGCTCTCGGCCTCTGGTAAGGCGGCGCAGCGTCTGACCTACTATTCCTTCGGATCATACCAGGCTCACCTGGCACATCACCGATGTTGAAGTAGCTTGGCCTGCCACGGCCTTCCATTTCTCACAAGCACAACCAAGCAAGCAACACGCCTCAAGTCAACGTATTGGGCTCTTTCTTTTGGTTGCAAGGCAACGAGCGTTCACACGCTCCGCTACCACGTTAAAAACCTACAAGGCGAACAGCCCTTCAGGTTTAAGGCAAACAAGTTCCAAGCACCCTTGCAAGCAAAGCAAGCTCACAAAACACTCGGACAGTTCACACTTTCAGCACGCACAGCTCACGCTGGTCTCACGTGTCTTGAGCCAAACGACAGTAGTCGTGGCACCTCTTAAAAGCTCCCAAGCACTACAAAACAAGGGAAAACAGGTTGAGGCTACCGCAAAACCGTCACGCAAGCTCAAACTACGTTCTACAGGCACTGACCACCTGAAACTAGCAAACTGTACAACTATACAGGTACCGATGAAAAACTCTGTGTCGCACCTGAAACACTACTGGGCAGAGCACTGGTTTTCTACAGCATGGAACAGAATTTGCTTAACTTCTGCAGCTCTTTGCAGGAGTAGGGAGCAGCAATCACATTTGCAGTTGTGGTTGCAATCATGTGATGTCATGACAACTTGTCATAAAATACCACAGCATGGCAAGCAAGGCGGCAACTGACCAACTAATTTCAAACACCACGCACAGTTCCCGCGCATAGCTACAAGGTTGTTTTTAAAGTAAAGTTCCAATCCAATTGGGAGCGTCTTTGTCCAAAGGTTTTCGATCCATTCTAGAGCCCATTTTCGAGCTCCAAAAACGAAGCCCAAATGGGGTCTTGAATAAGAGCAAGGTTTTCTTTGCATGCCTCTGCATCTTTGCAGCTTCTCATGATTTTTAGTGCATGTTCTGCCAAATTTTATTCAAAAACATCGCCATAGGTTGCTTTTCTTTTTTCATGTTGCCAAACGCCTCAATTTAAAGTTTCCTGCTTTGAGTTGTGTCTGAAGACACACGGCGTCTCATTCGTGCAAGCTCCAATGCTCGCCAAGTTCCTGTTTCAGTTTTGTGTCAAGGATATGAGTGCACTCGGTCGCGCATTTTGTGTTTACATGTTTGGAAGGCCATGCGAGGGGAGGGCTATTCGGCATGTCGTGTGATGTTGTTGGTCGTTGTGGACAGAATGATTGGAGTAGACCTGAGGTTTAAGGCGCCGTTATAGTGCATGTTTGTCGGTGTCTGAAAGCGAGCCGCGTGCACAAGATTGGTTGTCTTCAAATTTCCAGGGTTGGAAGTGTATCTTTCAGTGTGAAGCTACAGAATCAGTTTTGTTGGTTTTTGGTTTTGCTCAGAGAAGCAGATCCGGAGGCACACTGGTGCTTTGGACAAAGCCGACGTTTTTTCGACAGTAGTCAAAAGATGAACAAGTGTCTGGTAATTCCAGCATTTCCCACTTGTGCAGGTTGTTCCTTGTCCTATTCTTTCCTGTCCCTGGGTTTCTCCTGCATTTCCCACTTGTGCAGGTTGTTTCCTGTCCTAGGCTCTTTCCTGTCCCTGGGTTTCTCTTGCTTCAGGCGTTTTCCTCCCCCAGGCCCTTTCCGTTCCAAGGCTGGCTCCGGTTAAGGGCTTCTGTTTGTGGAGGAGGTTCATTTCCCATGCCAGGCTTTTTCCGCCCTCAGGCCTTTTCCATGTAAGAACATTTTTCTGCCAGGACTTGTTTCCCGCGCTGGGCTCACCACCCACTGTCACCCCTCGCCCCTAGCTGCTTCAGCAAGGGTCGGCCAAACAGCAAAGGAGCATTGCCATCGATGACATAGGTCATGATCTGCCTTGCAGCACCATGGGTAAAAGCAGGCATTGTTGAGAGCCTCCGGTGGCAGAGTTGCCGAAACGGAAGTTCTTTGAGCAGGAAAAGCAGGGGATAGTGGCCAGGTCGACGCCTTGCTCCAAGAGGTAACTCCCAAGGACTGGCTGCACCACCATCCTGCGCTGCACGGTTGCATGCTTCCTCCTCCATTCAGGGCATAGGTTTCGGTCACCATCATCACCTTGTCGTCGGCTTCGCCCATCTTTCGCTTCTTGTCGCCACTGCCTGCCAGAGGGCAGTTTCGTGCCCAGTGGCCAGCCTGGCCGCACCTGAGGCAGATCGGTTTGCCACTGCTTCAGGTTCCAACCCAGGTTTGAACCCAGGTTCCAACCCAGGTTGAACCCAGGTTTGAACCCAGGTTGAACCTGACGTTCAACCCAGGTTCAATACCTGGGTTCGAACGTGGTTCCGAACCCAGGTTCAACCTGGGTTTGAACAACTCCGTCTTCAAAAGTAGTTGTTCAAACATGGGTTTCGAAACCCAGGTTCTGGAACCCAGACCCAGGTTCCGAAAGCGCTCCTGGGTTTAACCTGGGTTTGAACCTGGGTTTTAACCAGGGTTCAACCTGGGTGCTTTAAACTTGGGTTCCAAACCTGGGTTAGAACCTGGGTTTCAAACCTGGGTTCAAACCTGGGTTACAACCTGGGTTTAAACCTGGGTTTTTAAACCCGTGTTCCAAATCTGGGAAAGAACCTGGGTTTCAAACCTGGGTTGGGTTTTAGAACCTGGGTTTCAAACCTGGGTTCAAACCTGGGTTATAACCTGGGTTTAAACCTGGGTTTTTAAACCCGGGTTCCAAATCTGGGTTAGAACCTGGGTTTCAAGCCTGGGTTTGGAACCTGGGTTTAACCTGGGTTCAAACCTGGGTTTTAACCTGGGTTTAAACCTGGGTTTTTAAACCCGGGTTCCAAACCTGGGTTTGGAACCTGGGTTTAACCTGGGTTTGAACCTGGGTTTTTAACCTGGGTTAAACCTGGGTTCATTAAACCCGGGTTCCAAACCTGGGTTAGAACCTGGGTTTCAAACCTGGGTTCAAACCTGGGTTCAAACCTGGGTTATAACCTGGGTTTAAATCTGGGTTTAACCCGGGGTTGAACCCAGGTTCGAACCCAGGTTCAAAAATGGGTTAAACCCCGGGGGGGGAGGGGACCAGCCTCGGGAGCAGGTCTACTGGCAGGACGACGACGGCCAAGGAACTCCATGGCCAGATCAGGACGAGGACTACTACGACAATGACGGCGCCCCGCTGAGGAGGATGTCTTCGACATGGACGAGTTCGACAACGTCTTTGCCTCCAACTCAACCAGCTCTGAACTTGGAGCGGCAGAGTTGCATGTCCTGTCCTTGCTTAGACCAACTTAGGAGCCTCCAAAGCTACTTCAGGCGGACAGGTGCCGGAGCAGTCACTCTGCAGCAAGGAGCAAGGCTGAACACCGTCCAAGTCACACGGTTGTGCACTTTCAAAGGGCGCTGAACATGCTGGGTGCCCGGAACCTCCAAACATTCTCACTTCTCTCCGTTCTGTGTGTTGATGTGGTGCTGGTTTCCTGGGCTGTTGTCGAGACAGGGACGTATTGATCGGCTTTCTAGCGTCCTGAAAGCTGCAACCTGGTGAAGTAAAGCTGCGACAAGGCCGCGTGGTTTTAAAACAAGCCAAAACGGAAGAAAGACCATCAGCCAGCCCTCTGCTCTCGAAAGCACCGGCACCAGCTCGACGGATACGATTCAGACGGCACTCATCCGCAAAGCGATTCGACGCTGCGCGGACACGTCAAGCAGGATATAAGTGATTCATCTAGGCCCGGGGGGCGTGACGCGCAAGAGGGTTCAGGGCATTTGGAGCATGGGTTCCAAGCCCTGGACTTGAAAATGATTTGTTGTAGTAGGGTTTGATTATTTTTCCATCGATCAGTCAGCGCAAGAACAACAGCCTCTCCAAACAAGTATCGTCCCTTCCCAAGAAAACGCGGCACGTTTTGGAACAAAATCGTCGTGAAAGCTACAAACCTACAACTTGTGATGTAGCCAACCCAAACTGCAAACCGCAAGCAAGCATATCTTCCTGACTTTGTCGGCTGTTTTATGATTGGGAATCCGAATCGCAGCACAGTTCAGGCACATGACTCACGTGACAGTGACAGCTTGACAACTTATCATCCAATCTTGCAAGAGGACGTAGGCAGTAGGCATAGCCTAGCTTGCTTGAGGTGTTACATTGGATAAGCCAAGATAAGCCAGATCTTTTCGTTGTGTAGTGTCATAGTGCTATGGCAGAGCCTGCCATCTTTAGGCTTCCAGATCCTGGGGACGGTGAGCTTGAGGACAGAGAGTCCGAGTCAGAGGCCGAGGAAGCTCCCAGGTCTGCAGGTGCCCTGCGGACTGTTCGATATAGGGACAGACTTCGAAATGCTTCCCGTGCAGAGGTTTTGTTTCTGTATGCGAAAACCTGTGGCGACGAATCAGAATCTCTGGGCACCGCTGCTGCAGGGAATTATTTGTTTTGTGTTGCTGAGCTTGGGGGAAAATGCATCAAGCCGTTGGGTGCCCAAGAGCACTTGCAGCAGCAAGATACTTGGCGAGCTCGGCGTCAGAAACGTCGCGATCGAGATTTCGCCGCTAAGCAGATGTCCCTCCAGAACCAGACAACCCGAAACCAGATGTTCAAGTGCTGTTTGAAGTCTCTTTTTCGTTTCAGGGCAGCTGTCCAGTTGGGGCCTGCCCAGGCTGCAGTGGCAGGTGCCTGGTGCCGGGCACCTGCAGCTGCTAACCAGGGTGCGGTGACTCCTGTTCCTGCGATGCCCGCCTTGGCTGGCAGGTTGGCGGTTTTGCCTGCAGGGCAAGCGCAATGGGTTTTTCAAGCTGCTGCGCCAAGCGTCATCTTCGAAGCCGTTGCAGATCGCCAGGGCCTTTACACTTGCTTTGCAGACGGACAGGCGGCGGAGCCTGAAGTAGGCACTGCGAGGCGTTACCTAGGGCGTCCTTTCTGGATGGTTCGCTTGCCACCAACTGTCATGAAGCATTTGATGGAGATAGGCAAGGAGTTCGTGGTTCCTGGTGGGCTTGTGACTTCTTTGGGGCACCAGTTGCCCGGAACCGTTCCTGCTGCGGCAGAAGGAAGCCCCAGTGATGGTGCCGACAGTGGTTCCTCTTCCTCCTGCGAGATGAAGAAAGTGCGCAGGCCGGCCATGCAAGAAATCCTGTTGGGAAAGCTCGCTTACAAGCTCAGCTCAACGGTAGGCATTCAAGATGTGGTTCGCACCGTCCTTCGAATGTTAGTGCCAGATAGTTTAGGTCTGGCAGACAACATGAAAGTGTCGCATGGGCATGTGCGGAATATCTTGCTAAAGCTTGATGCCTTGCATTCCTTGTCTCGCCGGTTCCTTGCCCCACCAGGTGGTGGGGCAGACAAGTCGCTGCGAATTGTCAGGTACATCAGTCCTGACAGTTCCCCGCAAGCGAATTATGATTATTTTTGTGCGACAGAAGAGTTGCTGCTCTATCGTTCCGACGAGCTTCCAAGGGATGCGGGTGGAAATGTAGCTCCTTTCAAAGGGTTTGAACACCAGAGGCGTTCGATGTTGTGTACAACAATTGCGAGAGGACAAGGAAGCACAGCTTCGAAGGCAAGCAAGATGGTACATATGATTGCCGTTGAGAGTGGTGCGTCTCTCTTTGAGACGTATCGTTCGGAAGTTCGGGGCTTCTTAAGCGATCAAGGAACGGAGCGAGGCATAGCATCGTTTCCAGTCCGCAGTTGCTCTGAGGTCCAGAGTATTGTGGGCGCTCAAGCTTTGGCGAGCGAGGCAATACAGGAGGATTTTCGTGAATTGCCGCTCTTTCATTCCGCTCTACACATACCGGGAACACTACACATAGTGTTTAACGCACTGGAATTCAGCTTGAAGCAGCTTGAAACCTGGCAAAAATTCGAGAAACAGTTGAACAGCATCACCCGTGTGTGCAAAGAAAAGAGTTACTCAGAAGTAATTCTTGTGAGAATGATGAAGCATGCGAGCCCCGAGGAGAGACGGTTGTTGCATCGGATGGATGACCTCTTAGACTGGAGGTGGGATTCGCTCGCAAGAGTGCTGAAGGTTTGGGTTCCTCTATATCCCACCTTCAAGAAATATTGGAACCCAGCTGTTTTTGGTGGGGACAGCTCGTCAGTCACAATTCGAGCTGTGACGGAAGCGTTGGCAGACGAGTGCCATTTCGACATGGCAGTGTGGACGCATCAGTTCTCTGCCGAGGCCACCAGGCTGGCCCACTTTTTCGAGGGTTGTCACTGCCATCAGGAGCAGCTGACAGACCCAGAAAACCGGGAAAAGATAAACTGTTGTTGGAAAGGCAGGCGCTTGCCTTGGCTTGCGGTTGGTAATCTCCAGGGAGCTTTGCAAGATGCCATGACAAACAACGAGATTAGTGTTCTTGCGCATCTCTTGTCTCGTTCTAGTGAAACTGCAAGTCGGATGGCGCACATGGCGGACACGTGCAACAAAGTATTTGTTGCCGTTATCCAGCAAAAGCTTGCGTATGCTCAGCAAGTACCATGGGTGTTTGCCGCAGCGTTTGCGGGGTATATGGGCGAGACTTGGGGCCGAGTGAAAAAGGTTCTTCGGCCACATCTTCAGAACGTTGACAACATGATCTCCAGTGGCCAAGTCGGCGCTCTAGACTCTGTTACACATGCTTTGTTTGGACCAACCGACACAGGCCGCATGCTCCGAGAGTTTCTGAACTCGGAGGATGACGTGCCCCTTGATCGATGGCCAGCGTTGTTTTGGAGAGTACAGGAATATGCCTTTGTTTCTTTGTCCGAGCGACACACGGAGAGAGAGCATGTCGGTGTCAAGGTTGCAGCAAACCGTGGTCTCACAAAGGCTGGGCCTGCAGTTGTCTGCAGCCGCAAGCGCAGAGATCAAGTGTTGGAGATGCTGGAAGATGAGAAACAGCTCGCTTTCTTGGTCAACAATTGGCGCAGCAGGCGCCTTTGGAGTAGCCTGCTGGAGCACATGCTCACTCACGAAGAGGTTCGACTTATGGACACGCCAAAGAGGCTTTCCCGCTTGTACGGGTATAGCGAGGAAGACCACTTCAAAGATTGCGAGGACTCTGTTCGTGCTGATGCCGTTTACCGCCAAACTTTGAGAGATCAGACTTTGTTACTGGCCGGAAGCTTCAAGCTTCCGAGTGCTTCCCACCAGGTAGTGAACTGGCTGAAAGGCCATTTGGCGACGGGCGTGTTTTTCAGTGTGTCCACGCATGTCTTTGAGCTACTTGTCGACAGGGGTCGGAGATGTGAAGACCCAGCCGCATCCTTCAGAACCGACTTGCTGCTGTCTATTCTGCGAGCCGACGTCCACCCTCGGGTAAGTGATCGTGCTTCGGTTTTCTGCTCGGTGCTGGATGCCAGGCCAGAAGCAAGAACGGATGCTCGTGTTTCGCGACCTGCTGCACACATCACAGACCCGAAGCTGAGCCGCCGCAGCTGTGTGGTTGTGCAGCGTTTCCACGACGTGGATGTTTCCCAGGGCGTGCACGGCCTTGGTGGAGATGTGCGGGTGGCGTGCACGAATGTGCGGATCGAGGTTCTCGACTTGGCACGGGTGTGCACAGCAGAGAACTTGAAAGCCTTTTGTGCAAACTGTTTGCTCTGGCGTGCTATGCCTGCGGAACTGGCCTTGGCTCTGGGAGACGAGTCCACGCAGCCAGGTTTGCTGCAGGAGCCGCAAGTGCAGAAACTTCCAGAGATTGTCTTAGACAGCGATCCTGCCTGCTTGTTGAGTCGACCGCCTCCGGATCCGCATGTGGAAGATGCCCTCGACATCCTGCACCCCCCTGCCCATGTCGTGCAGAATGCGGACGACTCTGCGGTGCTGCAGGTCTACGGTGCTCCGTGTAGCGACCGAGAAATGCAAGCTATCAAAGAGTTGCTGCGAGCAAGGGCCATCGGCATTGAATCTGCTGTGTATGCCACAGACCTTGAACACTTCGATGCTGTTGCACTGGAAGGCTTGCGTGACCGAGGTCTTGTCATCTGCGAGACTGATATGTTCTCAGATGTATCCGTCGCCTTGACGGGCAAGTTGACCTACAGTGCAAGCTTGGTGCTGGCACGGCCATTGTTGCTTTGGGAGCTTGACCAAACGACTTTGACTCGAGGCCAGATGCCAGGCCGATCAAAGTTGGAGTTAATTCGTTTGTTGTTTGTCTTGGGCTGTGTTCTAGGAAACCCCAGATGTCCATGATGCTTTTATATGCTCACTGATGCCTTGGCTAGGCTGTTGAGCTACGTGTTTGAAGTATCTAATTAATATCTCTTGCGAACCAATTCTTTTATCTACTCTTTGAACACCGCACATGCATACATGATACACGTACGTGTTCGAGTGCTGTGCGGTAGGAGTAGGATGATGGGCACTGGCCCGAAACAAGAACAGAAAGAAGACCTCGAAAAAAGAAAGCGGAAAGGCTACGGGGCAGCCATGTAAAGGTCTAGTGCAAGGGATTCTCACTTCTGTTCGCGTGCATGTTTTTGCAAACGACATATGCTTGTCTCGAAGGCGCCAAGCATGTCTCAAAGCCATTACACGACGAAACTGCGATGGCTCAAGAACGACAAAAGGCCACTGACCGTGAGAGGGGTTTTTTGGAAGTTCAGGGTTTTGTCAGAGCGTCCCTTCGGTGAACACCTTTTGTGAAGCTCTAACTCCCTCGGAAGCCAGAGGCACTGAAAGCCCGTCTGCATTAGATCACGACATTGCAGAGTTCCTTCAGTGCATCAGACAGAGAAGCACGACATTGCAGAGTTCCTTCAGTGCGCGGGCGCACTGACTGGCATTCAGGTTGTAGTGATTCTTTAGGTCGTTTGGTTTCCCTAGCGTTTTCCCGATCCCGGTTTAGGCGGTCCTTATCGTACCCTAAAAGGCTCAAACGTTCAAGCTGTGAAAGCTGGTCGGCGACAACGGTCGCGATCAAAGAACTGAACTACTTAGTATTGCTATGGAGCTATCGCCTGTTCCTACGCATTATTCTGTAGTCACCGATGGAAGCCCATATCAACAACAGGTTATGACTGCCCAAGCTACCCAAGAGAACAGCAGTTCACCAGGGACTTATCATGCCACCATGAATGTGCAAACTCTTCAGAGAATGCAGGTCGAGATTCCAGTAGAGGTTTTGCGGAGTTTCCAGCAAGCAACTGCTTTTGATCAGGCAGCATTGTCTGACTTGAGTGCCGCTGTGCAGGAGCTGCATGATCGACTCCAGTATCGCACTGGGCTTCTGGGGTCCGCCGTAGAAAATGTTCATGGTGGGTATCAGAGGGTTCTTGATGAATTGCAAGCCGTAAGCGTTGCCGTGGACGCACAGCATCGCGTGATCCAGACATTGATTCGGAGCCGTGATGAAATGCATGAGCAGATAGAATCAGTGAAACATGATCTTCAGACTAGGGTGGATCTTCTTGAAGGTGCGCAGATGGGTACTAAGCAATGGCAGGCCCAGGTCGAGGCACACATCCAGAAGATTGACAACACCTTGTATGTCATGAATGAACGCCAGCAAAGATTGGATGCAAAGTCCGACGCAGTGCTTCAGGCGTGCAGTGATCAGCAGACTGATGCAGCATCTTCCAGTGCAAATGCTCGTATTGCAATGCTTGAGAAGGATCTGTCAGAGCTGCAGAACAAACACGAACAGTTGCTTAATCTTGTAGGTGATCTGTATGCAGAGGACACCACAGGTCCTGCAACCGCACCGTGGCCAGATTGGAGCTGGCCGGAACAGCATGGAGCGGCGTGGCCCACTTTTGAGGCTCCCCAGTTTGCAGTTCCTCCAGGTTTGAGTGGAAATGCTCAAGGCGTTGGCGGCCTAGGTCAAGCGCAGTACTTCAACATAGGTTCACCAGGCCCTGGAGGGAATAATCAGCAAACATATGCAGCAGAGTTTGATTTGTGGGGTGACGCTCAATATGATGCAACGGCAGCTGGAATGGCTGCTGATCCCGGCGGGGAAATTCCGTCTGCAACTGCAGCTGCAACGGCTGCCAGTCAGGGTGGAGGTCAACAGGCGAGTGCCACTACCCAGAATGCAAATGCAACGCAGGATGCAGGTACCAAGCAAGATGCTGATGATCTTGATCTTATCCCCAATGAGAGATGGAAGTGCTTGTTGGAGGTGCCGACTTTTGATCCTAAGGATGGTGTAGGGTTGCCTTGGGAACTAGGACTTCGGTTTGATGTGTGGAAGAAACAATTCCTTACACTAGCCTCCAATGTACATCCCCGGTTTGCTGATTACGTCTCTGTGTGCTTCAAGACAGCGCAAGAACGGCATGACATCCAGGCCGAGGGAAGACAGGCGCCTCCGTTTCAGCCAGTTGCGGGGTATCCGGCGATGTTTGAGTCTAGACTTGTGATGGTGTTACTTCGAGTGCTCCCTGATGGAGTTAAGACGCCTGCACTTGAATCAGACGAAGGCGGCCAGAAGATCACATCTCAGCGCCTGCTTGAAGAATTGTACCTGTGTGTCAGGCCAGGTGGTTTGGAGGAGCAACAAACCCTGGTTAGATTCTTGAGGCAAGTGAATCCCGTTGCAACAGCTCGCGAAGCCATAGAATTGTTGCGTCGGTGGAGGCTCGCCAAGAATAGGATTGCTTCACTGTCCTTGCCAGAGGTGCCGGCGTATGAGCAAATTAGCGGCATTCAGAAGATGCTTAAGAACCTGGAGCGGAAACATGACAGCCTTAGGACCCGTCTTTCCTTGATTCGCATACACCCTGACGTGCAATTGGCTCGCCCGCAAGGGGTGATGATGGTTCTAGAGACCGTGGAACAGGAGCTTCGGCAAATTGCTGCCCGACGAAATGGCCAGGGATAATGCGGGGGATGGTTCAGGGCAACCTAGTGGAAATCAGGCAAAGGGTTCAGAGCAGAAGGGTAAGGATAAAGGGAAAAGTGAGGGGAAAGGGAAGCAGGCTGATCAAAAAACCAACCCTAACTCTAAAGAACATCCCAAAGGCAAGGGCAAAGGCGACAAAGGTGCAAAGCCTGAGGCACAGCCTAAGAGGAAGTGCATTTTTCACGGCCGCAAATCTGGGTGCCGGCTCGGTGATGCTTGTAAGTTCTTGCACGAGGGGCCATCAGGTGCTGCTCAGAGCGATCCGCAAGGGAACAATGCACAGGCACTTCTTGGTGCTGAGGCGCAGAAGGCGAATGCAAAGGCCAAACCCAAGCCGAAACCGGCAGCTAAGGCAGCTGCTACATCCGTCGTCAGCTCATCCTTCGCAGGCATGATTATGTCTGCACCGCGTGAGGAGAATCCTTTCCCGCATCGTCAGATTCCTGAATGGCCGTTGTGGATGTGTGAACTGACCCTTGAGCAATACCTTGAGTGGCAGAGGAATCCTTTTGGTATGACAGGATACTTCAATCAGGTAGACCATCCTCGAATCAGTCCCAAGCGTAAGGACCTTGAGGCCAATTTGTGGATTCACTTGAGCGAGTGTGAGATCGAGAAATGGATTGAAGGATGGATGGATGGAATGGTGATGAAGATGTACACTGATGCTGGGTTAATTGAAGCTCAAGTGGTATCGGCATGGCAACATGAGACATGTGTTCATGAACCCGGATTCTTGGTAGCGACAGGCTTGGAATCAGATGAAACATGTTACAGGGTTCTGGTGCTTGCGGCCAACCGGCCTGGGTCACCATTGCCTTTCAATGCTATGCAGCAGGCTCGGTTGGATGATGATCGGAGGATTGAAGATCCGAGAGCATCGAGCATTGCGGACAGTGTCACAGGAGCTGCTGATCTTGAGTTGGACTTCCAAGAGTCTGAGGAGGAGTCGATGTCCGACTCCGAAGTGCGCACACTTTCATCCTTTGAGACCCTGTCCAGCGAGTCTTCTGATTATGAGATGCCCAGAAGGGGAATGATTTGGGGGATCCACTTAGCCGAGGAGGATTTTTGTGCGTGGATTAGGCCCGGAGTCCTTGGGGTAAATCATGATGAAGCTTTCATTCCTGTGATAGGCGATGAAGGGCTGGAGATGCGTGCATGGAGGACCTTGATGATGTTCCGAGGCCGTCCGGATTGGCATGAAGATCCCATTGACATCAGTTACGGACAGCATATCACTTTTACGCAAGAGGTTCAGGTGCAAACTGCTCCGAGGGTGTTTAGCACAGCTTATGCAGTGTGTGTTCACGATTCTAGACAAGGGAGAGAGATCTTGTTGGGATTGTGCGCGTATCCAACTAGGCCGTGGATCACTCTAGAACCGATCCGTGTGGAAGGGCATGCAGGTGTACTTGAAGCCAGATCCCCCACAGTTCCACCACCTCCTGGATACGGTGGAGGAGATTATGATCATATCCCTGAGATCAACCAACTTCATAGCGCTCAAAAGGGCGTGTCAGGACACAACGGAGTTCTTCTGGACTCTGGAGCGAATGAGATTCTTCGCCAGCAGGAGCACCGTCCTGCCAGATCCGTGCCACTGCCACTTACTTTGGCAAATGGGGCGTCAATCGATGCTTTCCGCACCAAGGAAGGGGAGGTTGTGGTTGTAGGAGTTGAGAATGGGGATATCATTTGTGGGGTAAATAGGCTAGTGCAAATAGGCTGCAAGTTTGAGTGGGACTACATCAATGGTCCCCGACTGCACTTACCATCGGAAGTCGGAGGTGACGAGGAGCAACTGCGCGAAATCAATGGATTACCCTTGATGAGCCGTAAGACTTTCCTTAAGCTTAGGCCCTTGATGACCCAACATTGGAAACACCATCACACCGCTTGTGTTGCTGCTAGCGCGGAATCGATGTCGGAAGTGTGTAACATCTTGAGCTGGTCAGACCTGGACCATGTAATCAACGCCCAGGAGGAGACAGCTGTTCAGGCATTGGTGGCAGAGCATCCTGGAGAGATGTTTGCTAAGAATATGCTTGAAAAAACCGTGCTAACACATAGCGATGTGCTGGAGGCAATCAATCGTGCCGACCTGAAGCCCATGGTGTCAAATCGTATGAACAAAATAGAGGGTACTCAGGAGAAAGTTTCTTTGTGGGTTTTCGGAGCTTGGGTGAAGGGAGGTTTGAGGGGGATAACAACATTGACGCGACATCATCCCTACCTTACGAAGGTTCTTGTGAAGTACATGAGGGCGAACACATCAACTCCCTTTATGTCGGTTGTGATTTCACGGGATTGCGTGTTTCGACCACATAGAGATCCCAACGATTGCAATCATCAGACTACATTGATTGGCTTAACCAAGCATGCTGGAGGAGAACTTTGGATTGAAGACACGAATGGAACCGAATTGCGCACTGTGTCTCAAAACGAACCTCCGAAGCCAGGAAGCTTGTTTGCTACATCAGGAGGCAAGGTTGTGACGTTCTGGGGCAACAAGCTTCATGGAACAGAACCTTACACAGGATCCCGAGTTGTTCAGATTGCATATGTGCCGCGCAGCTGGGACAAACTGTCCAATGCCGACCTGGCGACGCTTGACGAGTTGGGTTTTCGGTTACCTAGTGGTTGTAATCCTAGGGCTAGTTCCTTGACCCCAGGTCCAGCCGGATCACCCGATGACCCTAGTCACCCTAAGCCTGAGTCCCGAGGTCCAGCCGGATCACCCGATGATGCTGAAACCTCTAAGCTTACGCCCCATGGTCCAGCCGGATCACCCGAACCACATAAGGACCCTAGACCTGATTCACTTAGTCTGTCAGGGCAGCCTGACGAAGGAGGCAATCCGGAGCAGTGCGACGCCGATTGGGACGGGGATATTTTCAGGGAGTTCGGATTGGTTGGGGATGAAATTTCGGAGAATCTAGCTGGAAGCCATGGATCCTGCGCCGCAGCCGTTTGCCATGGACTTGAAGAATACAAGGCGAAGGGTTTGAAACGGCCACATAGACGTGTTCGCATTGAGGATCTTTCGACTGGAGTCCTCTCGATTGACATCGCAGGACCTTACACAACAGCTCCAGGAGGAGAGCGGTTTGTCTTGATCGGAGCGTATCGTTCTAAAGAGAATCAAGTGTTACCATTCGTCCGCTGCTTGAAGCGACGCTTGTGGGAGAATGTTGATGCTGGGATCTCTTCTATCTTGAGTGAGCTGTATGCGATTGTGGGTCATCGAGGGCTAGTTCGGATTCATTCGGACAGGGCGAAGGAGTTCTTAGCGACGAAAGTTGTGCAACACTTGAGCGAAGCTGGGATACATCAGACGACCACGTCGGGACATGATCCGGCGGCGAATGGGCTTGCGGAGAGAATGGTCGGGCTCTTGAAAGAGAAGGTCAGAGAGTATCTCATCACGGGAGCTGTGCGGCTATGCTATTGGCCATACTTGTTCCCTGAAGCGGCTAGGTGGATGCGGGATTGCATACTTGGAACATCTTGGCAGGGAGAGCTGCCATATCCTGGTGAGGCGGTGGCTGTGAAGGTCATTGATCCTGCACCTCTGGAGGCTCGGGCTGAACCGGGAGTGTTTCTGGGAAGAGCAGACAATGCGACGCATGGAGCATTCGTACAAGTACAACGGAACAGCAAACCAACAGTTATCTTGACGAGGTTGCCGGCAGTGCTGAAGGAGACAAACAAGCAGTGGCGCACGTTTACTTCAGAGAGTGGAGACTTGATTTGGATTTCTAGCGCAGGAGAGGCAAAGCATGCAGAGGCAGTGAGAGACATTGGATTGGACTTGGGACTGATCACGGTGGAAGAAACTCAACGAGGATACAGTCCATCAGAAGGTTTTCCAGTGGCAGCCGCTTTAGCTTCAAAGGCTGGAGGTTCGGATAAGTATACCATTGTGAATGCTGCAGCTGAAGATGAGATGACGGATGCTGAGGAGATGCTTCGAATTCTTGCGGGACAACGGGCATCGGCTGAAATAGTTGACACGAGCGTTTTCTTCAAGGGATCAGAAGCAGATCGGACCAAGTGGTACGAAGCAGCTAAGAAGGAGATGAACACCATGCATGAGCAAGTTGTTTGGCATGAGCTGCGGGAATCAAAGCTGCGCGAGGACTTGGGTTTGGGACCCAAGGAACAGCTGCCGAAAATTCTTCCGATGAGATTGGTGCTGGCGAAAAAACCAGACCTTGAGGCGGAGGCCGACATCAAGAATGGAGCGACTCTGGGAGCAGCTGTTGCGGAGGCGGCGTTCAAGGCTCGTGTCAGATTGGTGGCATGCGGAAACTTTCAGCCGGATAGCGAGATTGAGGAGTCTGAGATTGCGTGTGAAAACTTGAGTCCCGAAACTTTACGATTGGTGTATGGAAGATTGGCTAATGAGGAAACCTGGGAAGGATTATCCTTGGACATATCAGCTGCCTTCTTAAACAGTTTGTTGCCGAAACATGAGAGAAATCTTCTTCGACCGCCAACAGTGCTTGTGAAACTGGGTTTGGTAGATCCAGATGTGCTGTTCTATGCCAACAAATCCATCTATGGTCTGCGACGGGGACCCCATGATTGGCAGAACGAGCGCACCGAGAAGCTTCACAAGGCTGAGGCGAAGGCAGATGAAACATGTTCGTATGGCACATTGCGACTTGAAGAGCTTGAGGAGTGCAAAGGGCTTTTTATTGTCAGGGACACCAATACTGAGAAAATCACGGGACTTCTGGCTATGTTTGTCGATGATGCTTTCATTTGCGGACCGAGAGAAGTGACCTTGAGGGTGAAGCGATTGATTGCGCAGACATGGAAATGCCAGGTACAAGGGTTTCTTTCACGAAGCTCAGATTCTGAGATTAAGGATGGCGACGAGGTCATCAAGAAAGTCGACGAGATCACATTCTTGGGAACACAGGTCACGCTTGAAAAGGATGGGGTGCATGTTTCCCAACGGAAGTGGCTGATCAGGGAACTTCATCGTCGAGGCTATGTACACCTTAAGGGGAGTGAATCTTTGCCGCAGATTGATGCTACACAGATTCCTTTGATGCCGAAGGATACGAAGGGCTTTGCAGATCACCTCAAGAAGGCTCAAGGGGAGATTGGATGCCTTCAGTGGTTGGGCTTGAAGACTCGTCCTGACATCCAGGCATGCGTTGGAATATTGGCATCGTTGCAGACTTGGAATCCTGAGTGGGTGTATAATGCTACAAAGGGCGTTTGGAGATACTTGAGAGCTACAGTGTGGTCAGAGATGATTCATCATGAAGGAGGATCCTTGGACATCTATGCGGAGTCCGATGCCAGCCTTGGGCCAGCAGGTTCTAGGTCTAGAACGGGGTTGGTTATTAGTGTAGGTCAGAACCTTGTTTTCTGGAAATCGTGTCGGCAGAATCTTACGGCGTATTCGACTTGTGAAGCTGAAACCGATGCATGCGCGACAGCTCTTTTCGAAGCCACTCGTATCGCAGGCTTAATCAAAGCCCTGACCGGACAAAGGCCGCGGCTAGTGTTAGCTGGAGACAATGCGGCAGCGATTACTTCGATCACAAGGAATGACTTTAACCCTCTTACGTGGAGAACTCGGCATTACGCTATGAGGTGTGCTTGGGTCAGGGACATGATGCACCGCGGCTACCGCGACGCAGACTTGGCAGAGATTGAATGTTTGTGGAAAGCAGGGGATGATCTAGTGGCGGATGCACTTACCAAAGTCTTGCCAAGGGCCCGCTTAGAGAGACTTCGAAGGCGTTTGGGAGTCTTGACGAGTCGGATGGGCCACTGAGTTTTTCAAAGTTCTTTAGCGCCGAAGGAATAGTCCAGCGCTACCGTTCAATCATGTGACACTGGGGTTGAAAGTTCCAGCAGGCCGTTCCTCACGAACAGCTGGAAAGGAGGAGTGTTCTAGGAAACCCCAGATGTCCATGATGCTTTTATATGCTCACTGATGCCTTGGCTAGGCTGTTGAGCTACGTGTTTGAAGTATCTAATTAATATCTCTTGCGAACCAATTCTTTTATCTACTCTTTGAACACCGCACATGCATACATGATACACGTACGTGTTCGAGTGCTGTGCGGTAGGAGTAGGATGATGGGCACTGGCCCGAAACAAGAACAGAAAGAAGACCTCGAAAAAAGAAAGCGGAAAGGCTACGGGGCAGCCATGTAAAGGTCTAGTGCAAGGGATTCTCACTTCTGTTCGCGTGCATGTTTTTGCAAACGACATATGCTTGTCTCGAAGGCGCCAAGCATGTCTCAAAGCCATTACACGACGAAACTGCGATGGCTCAAGAACGACAAAAGGCCACTGACCGTGAGAGGGGTTTTTTGGAAGTTCAGGGTTTTGTCAGAGCGTCCCTTCGGTGAACACCTTTCGTGAAGCTCTAACTCCCTCGGAAGCCAGAAGCACTGAAAGCCCGTCTGCATTAGATCACGACATTGCAGAGTTCCTTCAGTGCATCAGACAGAGAAGCACGACATTGCAGAGTTCCTTCAGTGCGCGGGCGCACTGACTGGCATTCAGGTTGTAGTGATTCTTTAGGTCGTTTGGTTTCCCTAGCGTTTTCCCGATCCCGGTTTAGGCGGTCCTTATCATACCCTAAAAGGCTCAAACGTTCAAGCTGTGAAAGCTGGTCGGCGACAACGGTCGCGATCAAAGAACTGAACTACTTAGTATTGCTATGGAGCTATCGCCTGTTCCTACGCATTATTCTGTAGTCACCGATGGAAGCCCATATCAACAACAGGCTGGGAGCCAGGGCTGGGCCGGGAAGCGTGGCATCGCAAGCAGGGAGAGAAACGTCTTCCAGATGACGTTCTAGTTTGCAGCCTCCCCTTCCTCAGAGCTTTGATGCTGAGTCGGCTTATATGGGAAAAGCCCGGCAACTTGTCGGGCATTTACTTGAAAGGCCCCCAGCAGTATTATGAGTTCTTGGTGGATCAGGACGATCTCAGCAGCTTGCGGGATGCTTCTGCAGAGGAAATCAATGCTCGGTTCGCGCAGAAGAAAAAAAGACTTGCTGGCCGCAGCTTGACAAGAGATGCGGCTACAGGTCTGGAGCTTGACCCAGAGGCTGATGATGCCGAGTTAGAAGAGCTTGTGCAAGAGCTGCCTGAAAAGCTCATGCAAGCAGAAGAGCCGCAGCCAAGCATGGCCAGCGGTGGTAGACGTGTCGCTCCTCTAGAAATCGACTTGGGAGGCGGTAGGACACAGGTAGTGCATTTTGACAATTTCACACACTCCAGCGGTCAGCTCCGAGCATTCGTTGCTTGCGAGACACACAGCGGCTGCCGCTTGTACACGTTTGTACGGCATCATGGCAGCCGCAGGCGGGCTGCTGCCTTTTTGCTTGCTTGGCAAATGCGAGCAGCTCACCACCGCAGAGCTGAAGCTCACATTGCGGACAAGCCAAGTGAAGAGCAGGTGGATGCCATGATGCTCCGGATCGCTTGATGCAACACACGGCAGTCAGAGTGAACGTTTGAGGTTTTTTTTTTAGTTTGTTGCATTGTTTGGATGCAGGACACGTGTTGGCTGACTGTGCTGCTTCCGTTTGCTGCAAGAGTACCTCGGTCACTGTGTGCATGTGTGACTGCCCGTGCATGTGTGACTGCCCGCAGCCCCTTTCGGCTCCTTTGGGCTGTGCAGGGGCCAATGCATTGGCATTTCTCCCACTACGGAAGGCCGGCAGGGAGAAGTGTAGTCGAGTCTCGAAAGCTTTGCGGTGAGAAACCTGTAAAGTTACAAAGCTTTGAAACCCAGGCAGTCCTTAAGCCCCTAGAGTAAGAAGCTTGCTAACTCACAGAGCCAGATGCGGCCACCGTGTGCTCACCTGGGTTTCGGGCTGCGTTTTCGACGCTAACCCATTTCCCAGGCTGCACTTTGGATCGGCACGCTACCTGGTCTGTGGGCTGCACGAAGCTACCCTGGAGCTACAGGATGCACAGTAGTCAGTTTAGCGTCCCCGCTATAGGTGTAGCAGCAAGCCAGGTTGCAGTTGCAGGTGTCTGTTGGAACAGATTAGCCTCTCAAAAGCAAAGCAAAACCCCCAACACCTTAAAAAAAATTGCTCGCAGGTGGGTGCCGGTGGTCTACAACCAGTGGGGCGAGGCGCAGCTCCCACACCGGCCGCCTGCGCTGTTGCCGCCGCATCCGCCGGCGGCGGCGGCCCCTTTTGCTGGCACGGGTGCAGCCCACGGTGCAGCCACAGGTGGCGGTGTTGCTGCTAACCCCTCGGGGGCTGCAGCAATGCCGGCGCCGAAAAAAAATCCTGGCCAGGTGGACCTAAGCAGCGAGGATGACGACGAGGAGTCTGAGGAGGAGGAGGCGGCTAAGAAGGACGAGGACAAGGAGCCGGACTCCCAGTCGCGGAAGGATGATATCGTGGTGGTGGACCACGACCAGGAGAAGAAGAAAGAAGAAAAGGGTGGCAAAAAGGAGGAGGCTGCTCAGAAGCGCAAGAAGAAGAAGGAGAGCAGCTCTTCCAGCGCTCCCGCAGCCGCAGGGCGAGCGAGCCTGCGGCAAGCTCCGGCCGCCGTGGGCGCGATTCGCGGAAGGAGCCGACAGGGCAGCTAGGCCGCAGCAAATCATCGCCAAGGGATCGGGCCATGGTGGCGGGTCAGAGCCAGAGCCCTCAGATCCCCCAGATGATGCTGGCCTTTTTCGATGCCACCACAAAGATGCTGGACATGCAGCAGCAGTAGTCCTAACATCGAAGATTTTTGGGCGAGAGGAAGAATCCTGGGCCTGGTGTCCTAAGATCCGTGCGATCCTGGACCCAGAGCCCTAAGATTCGGCTCTCGCAGAGGAGGCTAGGCCGCGGTAGCTAGGCCGTAGAGCCAGGCCGTAGGGTAGGAGCCCGACTGGCCTTCACCCGCCCTTAGCTCACGAAAGCCTTCAGGCCCCAAGCAAAGCTACAGCTACTACAGCTTTTAAGCTTTTAGCCGGAAACCGGAAACCTGAACCCTTAGGCACCAAGCAAAATACAGCTACTACAGCTTTTAAGCTTTTAGCCGGAAACCTGAACCCTTAGGCACCAAGCACAACTGAAGCTGAAAAGGCCAAGTCGGAAGTAGCTCCAGTGTTCCACTCACCAAGCACTGCCGAGCACAGTCGTGCCAAAAAAGATTCGTTCTCAGCAGGCTGGCGGGGCGTGTGGTCAAGTGCACAGCCAGAAAAAACTACAACCAGGAATCATCACGGTCGAGCGTTTGTTGCAAAACAACTACTGAAGCGTTTCAGTTTTGTTTTTGCCGGGCATGTTGAACTCATAAAGGGTTTTAAGGCCACAAGAGGACAGAACACAGAAAACACAGTGAATTCTCAAGGGGGCGGCCCTGGGGGTCTTCGGGGGGGGCTTTGGGGGCACTGGGAGGGCTCTGGAGGGCGTTTGCAGGGGATTTAGCACCTGTTTGGGGGTCTCGTGTGGGTGTCCGGGGTCGTGTCGGGGTCGTGTCCGGGATGTCCGGGGTCGTGTCCGGGATGTCCGGGGTCGTGTCCGGGATGTCCGGGGTTGTGTCCGGGATGTCCGGGGCGGGGCCCGGGAAAGGTGTCCGGGGCGGGGCCCGAGGGTGTCTGGGGCCGTTTTGGGTGTCCCGCCCATGTCCCGCCAATGTCCCGCCATGTCCCGCCCATGTCCCGCCATGTCCCGCCCGTGTCCCGCCATGTCCCGCCCGTGTCCCGCCATGTCCCGCCGTGTCCCGCCATGTCCCGCCCGTGTCCCGCCATGTCCCGCCCATGTCCCGCCCATGTCCCGCCCGTGTCCCGCCATGTCCCGCCCATGTCCCGCCCGTGTCCCGCCCATGTCCCGCCAATGTCCCGCCATGTCCCGCCCATGTCCCGCCATGTCCCGCCCATGTCCCGCCATGTCCCGCCCACGTCCCGCCATGTCCCGCCCTTGTCCCGCCCGAGTTCCGCCCAGCCCCGGTCCCGCCCACGTCTCATGATGTCCTCTGCGTCCTCTAAACTCTTTGCACAGCAGCCGTTTTCTCTCGAGGCTTTGTTTGTGTTAGCAGCAAAGAAAAAAAGCGCCAGGGGTATGCCTGGCAAACGCAAACGAGGTGACTCTCCAGTGCATGAGACCGATGCGACCCAGCCGCAGGCGGGCAGCAGTGTGATCACTGATGCGACCCAGCCGCAGGCGGGCAGCAGTGTGATCACTAGTGTGATCACCCGCACACAGGAGCGATCCGAGCGATCCCGATCCCCGCGAGGGGAAAGGGTTGCGACTATCATTTGGAAGTGGTGCTGGAAACGAATGGAGACAGATGATGGGACCATTTGGTGGTGGCAATGGTGGAAGGAAGGGTCAACGAATGGAGACAGATGATGGGACCACTTGGTGGTGGCAATGGTGGAAGGAAGGGTCCAGAATCTGAGTGCGGTTTTTTTTCGGCAATAAGAGCTTGCGGTGGAATGCTGGAATGCTGTCGCCGACAATAAGAGTTTGCGGTGGAATGCTGTCGCAGACAATAAGAGTTTGCGGTGGAATGCTGTCGCCGAATTGCATGACTCAGAGATTGCATGATTGCCTGTCTCAAGGCCTTGCATGGAAATGGAAACAAGTGCATTGCAAGGGTAGACTGTGCCACCCAATTGCCTGACTGAGAGACTGCATTGCATGATTGCTTGTCTTTTTCCGTGGGTGGAAATGTTTACATCAGTCCTGAGTTTGTCACTGAGAGTGAGCAAAGCCAGTTCCAAGAATAGCGTAGACAGCCGGAGCCATCATCCTGATTTCTTTTCTTTCTCAAGCCAAGCTTTTGTTTTTAGTGGGTTGCAGCAGCATGATGGAGACTGGGGCAGCGAAGCTCCTGTATGCGATGAGTCCTTGGAGCTCAAAGCTGGGGCGTGCACCTGTGGTTGCTGAGCCCTGTGTAGGCATCTCTGCTTATCGAGAGTGGATGCAGAAAGCAGGGCTTGTTTACAGGCCATGCGCAGCCTACGATTTCAACATGGACTTGGTGCCGTTTTGGCGAGCTCTGCGAAACCAGGGTTTGCAGGGGACTTCGGAAGTCAAACTGGGTTGCAAGAAGGGGACATCGAGAGGAATGTCGTGCTGTCAAAACTGTCAAGTGCGGAAGGCTTGATAAGCGGGCCCCCTTGTCAGCCTTTTGCCTCCACAGGTTTAAGGCAGGGCGCCCAGGACGAAAAAGGCCGCACAGATGTTTTTGAATCAGTTGTAAGCATGATATGTGAGGAAGGCTCGCGTGGCTGTCTTCTGTTTTTCATTCTGGAAAACAGCTCACATTTGGCTGATGCCAACCATGCTGAGTTTCTGAATGAGATGCTCTTGAGACTTGAAGTGTCACTGCCATATTTTTTGGTAGACACCGTGAAAAAGGATGCTGCGGAGTTTCTGCCAGTCAAGAGAGGTCGTTTTTTCATCAGAGGGCTAAGGAGAGACTGCCTGCCAGACCCCATGCAGGCGTTCCTCCCTGCCCCCCTGTGCTGCACGGATCTGCTCCCGGCAGTCACACTGGAAGAGATTTTGGATCTGAGCTTGGCTGCGACCGATGTGCAGAGTTTGTGTGCAGGGCACGCTGCTAACCTCACATTGTACAAGCAGACCATATCTCAGTGCATCGAAGAGCATCGTGCCCAAGGCAAGCCGCTGCCCTCGAACACGGTTGTTGTGGAGCTCGACCGAAACCCCTTGAGAACTTTCGGCGGGAAGTGGGGTTGGGGCAAGATCCCATCACTGAGGACTACGGGGCCACCTTTGTTTCTTCTGAGTTGCGAGGACTTGTCGAGGCCATGGCAGGTCATGCGACTGCACAGGTGGCTCAGCATCGCTGAGCGGTGCAGCGCTCTGGGGCAGCGTGCAAGCCACGCGGCCTTGTTCTCGAGAGACACCCATGCCCTGCATGCGATCGGGAACGCTCTCTCGCCAGTGCAGCTGGCCGCTGTTGCCTCGCCGCTCGTGGAGGCAGCGGTCAACTCTGGCGTGCTCACTGCAGGCAACCGTTGCAAAGCCTGCGCAGTGGAGCTTCTGCCGCACACGAAGCCACCGGGTACATCAGCAGCTTGTATCCTTGAAAAGACCCCGAGGCCAAGCGCCACAAAAGGTTCCAAACCAAAGGCTGCAGTTGAAGAGGCAACACAAAAGACTCGAAAACCGAGGGCCAAAAGCAGTGCAAAGCCGAAGGCTTCAACTGAAGAGGCAAGCCCAAAGACCCGAACCCCGAAGGCCAAAACAGCTACAAAGCCAAAGGTTTCAACTGAAGAGGTAACCCCAAAGACTCGCAACCCCAAGGCCAACAGGGTTCGAAAGCCAAGGGCTCCAACTGAAGAGGAAGCTCCAAAGACTCTGCCTCGTGACACCAGCGCAAAGCCAGAGGCTTCAGCTGAAGAGGAAGCCCCAAAGACTCTGCCTCGTGACCCCAGCACAAAGCCAGAGGCTTCAGCTGAAGAGGAAGCCCCAAAGACTCTGCCTCGTGACACCAGCACAAAGCCGGAGGCTTCAGCTGAAGAGGAAGCCCCAAAGACTCTGCCTCGTGACACCAGCACAGCTGGTTTAGATGGCACCCAGGACTTACCACGTCACCAGCCAGAAGGCAGCACCCAGGACTTACCACGTCACCAGCCAGAAGGCAGCACCCAGGACTTACCCCGTCACCAGTCCGATGACTTGGAGCTAGAGCTTGAGCGACTGGTTGACGAGCTTTTTTCGGATGATGATCCGGGCATGGACGTTGATGATGCTGCGCCACAGAGTCCACTCGTCCTGAGTGAGAAAGCAACACACCTCTTCGAGTGTTTGGCTAAAGCCAAAGCTTCATCCAAAAACTGGCTCTCGCCAGCAAGCAAGAGCTCCAAGAACGAATCTGAGCCAGCACAAAGCTCCGGAAGCAAGGTTGGCGACAGACGGAGGCGTTCTACTAGCTCAGGGCGAGACATGCCAGAGAATGCTCAGCGCAAGCTGCGTTTCCCACCTCACTTGAACCTGCCAAAAGAAGCGATCCACCTCTCGGATTCCGACTAGCGCTTCTAAGCGGTGTCGGTTGCCATGGTGGCGGTCTGCCTGTTCGTAGATAGGACCTGCTAGGATGGTAGGTGGATGAGCAGATGTGTGTGTGTGTGTGTCCACACAGCAAGCTTGAGAATAGTGCAAAACAGTCTTCCGATAACCCTTCTGTGTTCGCTGAGTAAGCTTGCCGGGTAGTTCCCTGATGACAGCCATTGAACTCAGGGTTCTTGTTTTTGTGTCTTGCAGCGATTTGTTTGGCTCCACAAGCCCCTCAGCTCCCACACTCGTGCTCCCCTGCCCCGCAGCAAGCATGACAGATGCCCCGGACCAGGAGATGCCTCAGAGCATCATGTGCATCAGGTGTGAGGAAGAGACAAGCATCTTGACGAGCTACCCAACTGGAAGGAACTGCTTGAGGCGGATCTGCTCCTGCTGTTCGTCCACAGACCGGTGCCTCTCTCGGATGGCTAAAGCACCGAAGAAGGGCTCTGCCGAAGAAGCCAAAGAAAGCGAGGAGGCCAAGAAAGCTCGAAAAAGCGCTGAGGCCCTGAGGGGAAGCGTGGCCAAGATGGGTTCCTCGGAGCGTGCCCAGTGGTACCGCCAAGAG